ATAGATTGAATAAATCGCTTTGAATAACTTGGAATTAAAATAATAAAGTTTGATATTTATGCTATTACATGCATATATCGGTATTATTCGTAGATGTTACACAAACTCTGCATGATGATCGACAAACCGGGCACAGATTCAAATTTCGCCTGTTGCATGGTCGTATGTTCGAATCCAGCTGATGAATATATTAATTCTGCCTGACAAGGTTTATGATAACAGCATTAGTCTGTAGTAGTATAAGTAATATTTTATACTTTTATATTAACAAACATTTTATTTAATTACAATACATATTTTTTTTTTATAAAATATTCATTTTCATTAGTTAGATTTTGAAACTTAAATTTTATTATAAAAAAAAAAAATAAATAAATATAGACAAAAATAACAAAAAAAAAAGAGATAAAAATAGATAAAAACAAAAAAAAAGATCTATATATATAACAAACTAGAAACCAATACCCGACATTCTATCACTATTATTATTATCCCTATCACTTTTTCTTTCTTCTGCTCTAAACCTTCTTAACTCCTCCTCATTATTTGCCAACCAAGCCCTCAATCTATTTCTTTTTTCTAACAACCGATTATACTACTGCTCCAACATCTAACTATCTTGTACCCTTGTAACTGCATTCATTCATAACTCTTCTAATTCCATCTTTAAACTCTGTACTCTTCTTCTTAATGAGGCCACCAACCAATTCAAACTGTAAATAAGTTTTGTTAAGTGAAAAAAAAAGAAAATGCAAAAACAAGAAAAGTTTTAGAGATAATATTCACCACCTGTTCTCAACTTGAACTACTCCCAAGGCCTCGAACATGGCATTATTGCCATTTCGGCAAGCATGATGAACATTTCTGGAAAGATTTTGGCAAGGCATTATTATTGTTATTATTGTTGTTGTTGATGTTGAGGTTGTTGTTAAAAAATCTTATAAAAAAAAAAAGAGAAAGAAGCAACAGAAGAATTATAACTTTCGATGAACAATAATGACACAAAATTAGACACCAATAGGAAGTTAATTTACTAAATTTGAAAATCAATTAGAAATTGATTTAACAAATTTAGAATGACAAAGATTTGTACATCGCATGATTACAAATCACATGGAATCTTAGAATCTTATTGGTTACTTGATGTATCCTAATGATCTCCAAAAGGGGTACAGATTTGAAATTTTGTAATATTTCTGGTATGGATTAACAGTCTAAGGCGTATTACCAGGCTGTATAGGTCGTATGTTCGAGACTGGCTAGGGTGAGCTTTCTGTCAAGGACCCAGGCATTGTAAGGCCCTTGGTTGAAGTACTGGAAATAGAATTTTTTTTTCCTTTTCGAATACTTATATTTATTTTTTTTTTTTATTCATTATTTAGAAATTTTTTAGTGATTGAAAACGGTACTTACCAAACACCTGGTATATACCGGTATAGTGATTGAAATATTAAAAAGCAAAGAGTCGTGCCATGAAAATCACTGGATACAACTGCTAATCAAAAGACTTAAATCTAACCATACACTTCGTTTCACTATGTTCCTGATATTTCGTTTCACTACGATCCTGACCTATGTATCGACAAATAATTTAAATATTTTTCATTGTAATTAAAATTCTTCATTGTAATTACCAATTCTTCATCCTAATTGCAAATATTTCATCGTTATAAATAGATCAGGACCAAAATTTTCGTCATTCTAAACTGATCATATCAAAGTGTTTAATTTTTTATTGTTTCTTTAATAAAAAAAAAAAAGAGTTTAAATAAACCGTTACAAGTGCCATCTTTATTATTAACAAAAATCTTACCTCTATTATTAACAATTACTTTATTGATTTCATTATAAACCAACGTAATTATGAGAACTATTTATTTTATCATAAATTTATTATTGCTTATTCTTATGCTACAAAAATATTTTATGATTCATGCTTTGAACGAAGCATTATCGAAATTATGGAATGTAACTGAAATTGAAGTGCCTAATTTATTGAATATTGAGAAGAACTTATGCATGGTAGATGGACTTTTGAAGCCATTTTTAGAACAAAATGGTGAAAGTTTTGGCGGATCTTATATAAATGTAAAAAGTAATAAAATAATCATCAGGATAGTAGATGAAACAAAGAAGGATATTATATTAAATTCACCTGATATACAACCACATAGAGAATTATTAATCTTTGAACCAGCACTAAATTCTCTATCATCCTTAAAAAACTCGCTATTGGAAATAGTCGCAAAATCGCGTACGCATCGTCCATTTGATGTATTAGGGTACATTGACATTGAAGAAAATAACGTTATCTTATTTCTAGCTCATATAGCCGATAGAAGTAATAGATCGTCTATCAATGCACGTAATAAATCGTTTATAGACGCTATCATACAATATAATCCTGTTATACATTATTACGATGTGAACGTGCAAGAGCAACCTTCCAGAAAACGACCTCGTAATTCGACTGACACCAAGCGTGATATAAGTCAACAACTAATAAATGGGGATGCTATATATAATACAGGTAAAGGTTCTAGATGTACAGCGGGTTTTTGGGTAATAGATGAAGATGAAAATGATTATATTGTAACTGCAGGACATTGTATTGATCCTAGAAATAGAACTCCTAATCATAATACTTTTTTTATGAAGCCGTTGAATTCTTCTGATAGATTGTCATCTAATAAAGAAGATGCAGTTGGCCCAATGGTATTTCATGATTTGGTAGAAACTGATTTTGGCTTAATCGCAATAAGAAATAAAAATATCAAACCGACAAGAGTGATAAGAAATACAGATTCTGATCCATATAGAGAATTATTTATAAGGGATCGTGAAATTATATCGACCCATGGTGCTCACTTATGTAAACCTGGTGCGACCACATTTGTTACTTGCGGATACACAAAATCATTTGAGGGTTATTCTTTTCATCTTAATGATGTTATCGATGATATGATTGTTACAAATTTTTTTGGGGCTAAAGTTGATAGTGGTGGTCCTGTTTTCTATTTAAGGGATTTACCTTATGTGAGTCTACATGGCATTATCTCAAGTGGTTTTAATTCTAGAGAATGGGGACCTTTTAATTTTATTGTAAAAGCAGATTATATTATTGGTGCAGCTGATAGGACTATTGAATTGTAATGTATTTTTAGAAGTAGGATCATAATTTTATCAATAATGTTATGGTACTTTATAATAAATTTAGTTTGGGAATCGAGTTATGCATGAGTATTATGTATCAATATCAAGAAAAAAAAATTACTATCATAATAAAATTATAAATTATTATTTAGAAAATTTATTAGTTTATACGTAGTGTTTATACACGTCTGTAACATGGCATCAAACCAATTTTACAAACGAAAATGTTTATGGTTAGGGTAATGGTGGTGGGTTTAAGATTGGGCAAGATATAGTTTATACCAAAATTGCGCAAGGAATTTGTTTTTGTTAAAAACCAAAAGATGGTTTTATAATCAAAATTTTGAGATATTGGTTTGCTTTTATATTGCCCATGTGCATACACTCCGTGTACGAATAGAAATTCTCAATTATTTATTATATAACTATTATATTAATTATTTTATTTTATTATGCTTGATTTATAAAAAATTTAAAAATTAATATTATAGGTTTTGTTTTTTTTTATAAATTTTGATAATTATAACTATATCAAAAATATGTATTTAATCTATCTGTAGGTAAAATAGTATACAATTACAAACCCTTATAACTTATTGGTTAGCATAACTTTACTTATTATATATAGTTTACTTTTTACATCTTATTTATTATACCTTTTTTCTTATAAATAATGAACTTAATTTATAATTTAATTAACTAAACAACTATACATATATATACAATTAAAAGGTTATAATAAACAATAGTAAAAACTAATTCTTAGATATAAATACTTAAAATTATATAATCAAAAAAAATTATACATCAAGCTTTAATATAAAAACTACTATTTATTTAATAAGAAAAGTTATTTAAAGACTTATTATTTATACTATAGCAAATAGAGATAAATATTAATTTGGATATAATTTTTAAAAAAAAAAACTCTTTCTGCAAATCCATTGCACAAAAATTAACTAAAAAATCGTTCGTCTAAAAACACCCATAACTATTTATTT